CTGGCTTTAAATGGGATGACGAGGTATGTGAATTTTTCTCGACCATCAAATACCTTGGAGGAGAGAGAACAAGAAAGTTCGTCCGAGGGCCAGGCTTCTTCGGAACAGGGAGAGGCGGAGAAAAAGAATTCAAATCGTTTGCGGATTTTAACTTGTATGGCCCCTCCTTAAACGCGACAAAACGATGCCAATCAGGCTACACAACAGAAAGTGGAATGATTAAGCCCCATTTGCAGTCACTCCATTCCCTGTGTCAACATCCAAAAGCAGATCTACATGCGATTGTTGATAACGAGAAGGTTCGCGCCATCCCAGTAGCTTTAGCAAGTGACGGCACGGCTCTGAAGCCAGGCCTAGAATACGACTCACGTCAAAAACAAGTAATTGGTCTTACACATAAAGTGGACGAGAAATTCGTGAAAAAGCATCCTCTTCCAGACCCTGAAAAGATAAAGACCAATCTAATCACCAACGCAGACGTAACAATTGCGACCTCGCTTGATAACGGTGCTGCGATGCCCTTGGCGGTTAACTTCCGACCCAAATCTGTGACTGGAGAAGAAATATTTTCTTGCATGGAAGATAGTATTAGAACCATACAAACCTGTCAAAATTGCTAGAAAGGTCAGCAAAGTGTTAAACACATTGTGACGAGTGAGGCCTCAATGAGCAAATGCGAAGAGTGCCTAAAAGCAAAATCGGTCTGTGCAAGCTGCAAGAACATGGGACAAGTTTCTCACCACCCTTCTTTAAGGGCATGTGATTCTTGCTCAGATAGAAACGTGACGTGCCAAAAGCTAGTTGTTATGGCAGTAGCAACCGACTGCAAGGAGTGCAACAAGAAGGCACTTGTTCGCTTAAGTGACATGGCAGATGGCAAGGAACTGCCACCAGAATTAGAATTGGTAGTTCCCTTGCCAGATGTCGTTCATATTGGAAAAAGGTTTAAGTGTAGCTGGTCGAATTGGTTTATCAACTTAGACGGTGAATTTAGCAATCTCGTGTTGCTTCGAAGCTTACGTAACAATGCGGAGGCGTTTATCAAAAAGAAGCTTCGAAAGTTGCTCTTACTTAAATGTGTTAGGAATAAAGACAGAATGGCTGTCGAACCCATTATTCGTTTAACACGACCAGAAGTTCTCAAAGTGCTGGAGGACGTTAAGTTCGTTGTGCATACCATCGTACCAGAACAATACAGGTTTTGGAAAAGTAACCAACGTGGTGTATGCTCTCACCTGATCGCAGTTTCTGAAGGCCCAACAGGCTCGATCCTTGCGCTTGATTACAACTTTGAGACAGGTTTATCAAGACTCCTAACAATAAGATTGCACCAGCCAGCAGATGTCTCTGTTGTGCGAGATGGACTGAAGGATGCTAGGAACTTGTGCTTCATCGATGGGATTGCATTCTTGTGCGAAAGGGGAAAATCTACAATTTCTTTTGTCGACTTCGAGGGAAAAGTGAAGATAAGTACAAAGTCACTCAAGCGACGAGCTGAACTTCTGAGGCACTTAGAGGCACTATCTCTCCCAACGGATGGAACGGTTCCCGTTTTGCGTGAAAGACTAAAGGACCACTTGGGTGCCATTTCTAAGAACACGGACTGTGCAGAACACGTCCAGATGCATCCTAATCGTCTTGGTAAGCCTTCTGCTGTCTATGCTGCAAGCAATGATTTGTTATTTTGTAGTGATGACGAGAGTCAATATGCCTATCAGATAACATTGACAATTGATGGAGTGACGATTCATGGCAATGCTACGAAATTCACTGCCTATCCATCCAGCATCATAAATCTTTTGTCTATTACTCTACTTGACCAATGCGCATTTTTCTCAGGAGCCTCGAGCCAAGGTGGGCTTTATAAATGTGAACTTAGCACAAAGACAGTGACCAAAGCTGTATGCAACTCGACTCTTTCTTGCTCTGAGGTAAACCAAGTATGCACCTTGAACGGGAGGGTAGTTTACACGGATACAAAGGCGGGAAAGGTTATGCAATACAACCCTGATGATAAATCGGTTAGGACTTTGGTAGGAAGTGGCCACAACAGTTCTTCCGATGGGACACAAGACTCATGCTCATTCAAACAAATTGAAGGGATATGCTCTGTAGAAAAGAACTTGTTTGTTACAGATGTTTCCGCTGGAAAACTGAAGATAGTGACGAGCCTCTCAGAAACGGTATCTTCCTGGGGATTCTTGGCTCCCTTTACGATACCTTTGGAATTCATTTTAAGGGTATGAAACCAGACGGAGTGTCCTTGAAACAAGCAAAAGAGAACGTGACAAAGATTGACAGCTATGTAAAAGACACTGTGAGTAAGGTGAAAGAACGCTACCAGTTGAGCGAGATGTCTGCAACCAATGGTCCACAGGGAACTGTATCACAGAAGACGCAAGTATCTGTGTCTTTGCTTAAAAAGGGCATAGAAAGGCTATACAAGTACGTGATGGACATTCACCCCCAGTTTGTAGATGATCTGCTGCTCGAAACTTTGCTCACAACAGTAGTGGAAAATTTGCACGCTGTTTCGCATCTTAAACACGAGACATTTTGCAAGCAACAATTGGGAACAATTTGCAAGAAATCTCTGAAGCGCACATCTAGATGGGCAGCAAAGTACTACACGCATGACAAATCCTACTATCTGGTACCTCAATCTGCCATGCCCCTTTCAGCTATAGCTACGATGACACCTTTGTCAAGTGAGGACATAACACCAGGGATGGAAGGACAGATCAAAGAGTGGCTGGAGAGTTAAAGACCAGTACGCCAACGGATGGTTAGGAGTGAGACCACAAAAGATAAGGCTGAGGCCTTGCCGCCAGCTGTCTACGCCGTTCACCACACCGACGAGTCTGAAGAGAGGCTTCGATATCCTAAAGAAAACACTGTATCGTCAGCAAATGCACAACGCATTGTCAGCATACAATTTGTGGACGAAGGGGATGTTACTGAGGTGTTTGAGGATCACAGAGAAGTACAAATCGATGAGTATGAGACAGATTCGGATGACGAGGAATCAGATTTTGAAGAACATCCAGAGGTTGTCAACAGAGCATGTGTTACCCGATTCGGCAGGGCTCTTCGTGCATTTGTGCTTCTCGACATGTAAGAGGTACTAACAGTTAAAAAAAATCCATTTAACGGTGCAGATTGATACGTATGACAACCAAATTTTTGGCAAAAAAAAGAGAAAAAAAGAAACCTCGCAGAAAAGCCACGAGAGCCCTTGAATAATAAGTGTAGTGAGTTTTGTGGAAAAAAGACTTCCATAGCTTACAAATTAAAATTAGGTATCCCAGGGGCTAGAGTGGGTGTTTCATTCTTTGTAGAATTTACCTCTCTTGATTTACTTCGATGCCCCGTAGTCGACAGGAAACAAATTCACATCTATAATAAAAGCTTTGGTGAATTTTATCGGTATACTAGATTTGCAGACAAAAGTGGGGTAGATGAGCACGTTGCTAAATAAATTAAAAAACAGCGTTAACGAGGTTTAAGTGAAAACAAATAATGAATTATTACAAGTATTACACTTCGTCTAGAGTTTAAAGTCTTAAAACTAGGCAAATTGCATAATAAATGTGAATAATTAACGTGTATTTTTAATTATTAACTGAGATTTACCGACAACCAACAAAGGTAAAAAATCTTAACCGACAACCGACAAAGTAATGAAATTTTAACCGACAACCGACATTTGACCCCCCCATTCAGACCCTCGCCTTTGGGTGACATAAAAAAGCAGGAGGAGTGTCTCTTACTTCAGATCCAGGCAGTTTGTCAATTGGTCCATCCTGGATTACTTCCTCCTCAGGCTGTTTGAAACCTTCTTGCAACCACTCTACAAAATATGGTTCCTTTCTCATCTCACAAATGTTAAGGATCACACAAGCAACTACTTCGACTGCTCCAGCAACCAACATATGCAGGCGCTTAGAGAATCTTGGCAATCTTTCTTTCCAGCATCCGAAGGTATTCTCAACTGTCATCCTGGCTCTGCTTAAATGATAATTAGAACGCCTCTACACCCTAGAGCGTACAGTTGTGAGTAAGAAAAGACCCTTGCGTCATGTTCACCTCCTGCACACCCTACAAAAATATCACGGAATAGATAATTACTGTCTACAAGAGCTTGCATTACAATACTGTGGTACAATTTCCTGTTGACGTAACTTGCATGATTTTGCTGTGGTGTTGAAATTGGTATATGTGTGTCATCGATTGCTCCCGCACACACGGGAAACACCCATTTCTCCTTATAATTAGCTATCCCACGAGCAAGTTCATCTCCTTTAGCGATTGACAGATACTTTGGCTCAAGTTTTCTCAGCACTGCAGTGGCTACCTTGCGGGTACAAATGCAAACAAGGTCCCTGGATAAACCAAACAGGTTAGAAAGTGTTCTGTAACTTGCAGTTGAAGCAATGAAGTACAAGAACAGACTCACTTTCTTTTCTACTTCAACAGCTTTTTTCATCTTTGTATCTTACGATTTCAGTTCTGGATTAAGTTCTTCAAAAAGAAATTGAAATTTTGCCCTGGACTAGGCAAAAGTTTTTGTGCCATTCTTGGTCTGAAAACTCGTTCAATGCAAGCTGAAACCAAGCACCTGTTCTAGGAAGCTGTCACATGGTACTCTCGATAGTGCATTAGCTCATTATGATGGCCACTAAAAAGCATTGACCACTTGAAAATTTTCCTTCTCCGTTTTCTTCAAAGTCACTCTCCTCATAAAAGGAAATGGTAAAAGAGTGGCAGCCATAATGGAGGCCATATTTCTTTCCTTCACACATGCTTTTGTGTATTTACCACTAAGTGATAAGGAAAGATACCGAAGGCTCAAATAAAAATCTGGTCTAGACAACAAGAATCAGCAGTGTAAACAGTGTACAAATTACGAGGCCTTGGGGTTCTTTCAATCATAAACCTAACCTGACGTTACCCATGTAAACAGTTAAAAAAAATTGGTCTTGACCACTTTTTAATGGGTCCGGACCACATTTTTTCTGTAATATAAATGGGGCTTTAAACCCGACATTGATGCAGTATCGATGTGGGCAAAGGAAAATAAAATGAAAATACATCCAGCAAAGACAAAAATTGCAAATTCAGCAAAACAATCTCTTGACCTTTCAGTTGACGGCATGCAACTCACTGAGGTTGAGTCAGGAAGTGTCTTAGGAGTGTATGTTGATAGTCATCTCACCTAAAACGAACAAACTGACCCACTGCACCGAAAACTACTCCAAAGAATTGCAATTTTAGCAAGAGCTCGGATATATACGGACCAAATATTGATTGCTTCTCTACAGTGCAAATATCAAACCGCTCTTTACTTATTGTTGTACTGTTTGGAGCAACTGTTGCCAAACCAACTTAGACGAACTGTTTTAACTTCAAAAACACTGCACGCAATTACTTTTGGATAGTGTAGTGTTTGTAAGGTACATTTTGTATGTCATACATAACATAGGTAAGCACGCAATGGGGGTCGGAAGTTTATTATTAAAGTAGCATGGCGGACGTTTAGATTAGATTTGTGTGTTACGTCCTTTCTTCGCGAATATCCATTTCCATCGACAGTAGAACGTGACAGATAGTCCTTGGGATGCACGATCTTATGATAATTTTCAAAAGGTTAAGAGGCTACCAGTTGAACAACTATTCAAGCTCAATAAACCCGGCCTTTTAAAGAAAGTTATTGATGGAAAAGCACCGGAATACTTAATTGCAACCTTGGACTCACTCCGGTTTGAACACAAGTACTCTACCAGTACAAAAACATCATACCATTTACCCAAACCCAGAACTGAAGCAACGAGGAGAACATTCTTTTATTCTACTATTAAAGAACTAAATGCTCTTAACTTGGTACCAATCACCTCCTTTAGCTTAATGAAGACAACACTGACTAATAATGCCGCCTCAAACTATACAGTGGACAATTTTAAAGTTTAAAAGCTATTCTGATTTTCAAAAAAACGGTGCTTTTTAAATATCATTGTCGATTGGATTCCCTTTTTCACCAATGTAATTACTTCCGTTTTTAACATCTCTCAATATTGTAAATCTCTAGAATTTTTAAGAGCTTTTATTGTAATCACTATTTATCATGATTCTTGTAATTTTATTATTATCAATTTTGTTTCCCACTAGGGGGGAGAATATAAGAATTTTTTTGAAGATCTTTTTGCGTTGGAGGATAGGCATACTAATCGGGTCATTCCCACGGGTTTATGTCCCGCGATTTTCCGATGCCATAAAATTTCATGGTTTGGACGCCATCTTGGACTGGCTGGCTGCGTGGCACACATGGCCTCGATCTCATGTGAAATTTTTGACCGCCGGGAACTGGTATCTTAGACGTGCAGTTAAATTACTCGTGGTAAGGGCGTTCGATATTTTGGCATTGCGGTTACTGTTTCCAAACACCCATACTTTTAAGCCACTTCCTCTTTGGTTCAACAGAATAGTGCATAACAGCATTCAAATTAACAACACTAATTTCTTCTGTTTATCTTTAAAATTACAGAATCTTCTTTCTCTATATTATTATGGATGCTGATATGCAACAAGGCCCTCACGGTATGTAGCTCACTAATTTTACCTGTTAAACAGCAATAATACTAATTGATTAACATTGGGGGCGTCAAACAATCTGTTCAACACACTAGTGAAATACTTATTTTTGAAAAAAATTTCTTTATCGACATCTGAAGCAACCAATTTGGTTCATTTGATCCTTCATATAATTATTGTCTATTTTAATTTCTATTTCAGATTTCACAAGCATAAACCGCTATTTTCACAACATCTCGCTTGTCAAAACAGCATCCACATCCAACAAAAAGTACTTCAACTGCGTCGTTGAGTGTAGTGACAAATCAGTAAGAACAGTATGTTACTCACCAGAAAAAAGAGCGGAGTTACATGCACTTGCATCAACTAGAAGTCCTGTTAAACTTGACAACTACAAGCGACCCAATAATAGAGATGATGATTTTGTGATAACAAAATTCACTAAAATTGTATCAATAGACAAGAAGGAAATTGACTTTTCCTTCTCAGAAGAACTCACAACCACTGCTTAACTTATCTCATTCAAAAGTAATTTTTCCAAGTAATACTCAACTCATCTTGTTTAAAAGACATTTTTTTTAATGGACCACTGAATACATTGACACGTTCAGTTATCCAAGTTTCTTATTCAATTGCGAAATAGTTA